CAAACTGAGTAATGTGAACCTGGCATTATGTGTGTGCGCTGCAAATGTGCATGAGCGCATGGTCTACAGGAGAGCACGCGAGCGCTGAATGGTTAAACACTGGCAAGAATTCAAATGTAATGCAATTTATAAACTTTAGTGACGATGTGACACTGCCTCGATTGTGCAAGTGACAATTCCTGTGTCAACTGTGCAGAGTGCAGCTCGCTTATAGACAGACGCGATGTGATGATTTGAAGACATTTGCGCATTTTGAGAGAGAGGGCGCGCACGCGGTGATTCACTCACGCTGTTTGTGAAATTACGTCTCACACAAGGGTTTCAAATTACTTTATAAGTTATTTAATGAAGAAATATGATAATTATTTCAGCATTATAATTATTTCACCCACTCCGGACAGAGACTGAGACGGTGACGCTGCATGTCGTGCCAAACCTCTCATGGCAGCGTCATCAGCTTGAGATCGTTTTTTTGAGATCTGCCTTTTTAGAGACCCATCCCAACGTGATTATCGGCCGATAGTGATTGGTAGCCGATCAATCGGAGCACCTCTACTAAGAAACCATATGACATGGTGCTAAAAATTATTCCTTTTTTTTTTTTTAGTGGAGAAGGATGAGTTGGCCTCTCGTGCTTACCTCTCAGAGCTGCAGAGCATCAAGTCCCATCTGGAGGATGCAGAGAGCAGACTGATGCGTGGCATACAGACTCCACACCCCAGCACAATATCAGGAGACAATGCAGTTCACATAGCAGAGCAAGAGGTGAGGAGTGATCAGCACAACTACGCCCTCTACTGGTCAATCACCTCAATAACTGTGAATTACTGGTAGTTCAAATCTGCAGTTTTTAGCTGAGATACATAAACTAGTCCATATAGTATGCATTTATGGAGAGTACTGTAAATTCTGCAAAAATGCTTTTAAATACAGAACACTGCAGTATGTGTTACTTACAGTGATTAAATAGTTTATAGTTATAGTTTACAAGTTTTGAAGTATTTTTCATAGACTATTGTAATGTGAATTGTTTTTAATTAGCTTTTATTTTTTGTTTTCAATTTTAATTTTCATGTTAGTTTGAGTAGTTTTATGTGCTTTTTCATTTTTATTAGTTTTTTTTTTCTGTATAGATTTCAAGTAATTTTATTACTTAAATTTATTTTGAGTTAGTTGCCAAGGTAACATTGCTAATTTGCGTTTAAGTTTTTCATCTAATATTTTATTTTATATCAGCTTTATTTCAGTTACCGAAAATTGTTAAAGTTTAAGTTTTAGTTAACAATAACAACAGTGACTTCATTTAATGACTTTACAGTCACCGTTCTCTTTCAGTTATTGAAATATGTTGCACTGATATAAATTTATTGTATACTATTTATATTATATATATATATATCATAGCTAATAAGCGGTTTATGAATGTGCCTCTTATTGCAAGATGAGTCGCCAATATTTTTGTCACTTTTGCCAGAAGAGAAAGACTGTAGTTTAAATGTGCATAATTGTTTTCATTTCATATCAGTTAATTTGGGCAACTTTTAGGACTACACTACTCTATAGATTACCTCAGATTTAACAGTCATGGACTAAAAGCTGCAAATGCCATTCAAATTTCATGGAGTCTTAAAAAAAAAGAAATGTAATCTGAAGAATCCTTTAATGGTTTTACAGAAACTGCAGCAGGATCTGAAAGGACTTCAGTCAGATTTGGGTGAGGTGTCTCGTCGCTGCGTGAGCTTCTTTGAGGAGAAGCCTTCCTCTTCTACTGTGCCTGTCCTACGCTCTGAGCTCAACCTGGCTGTAGAGCACATAGAGAAACTCAACTCCCTCTCCTCTGTTTATCTGCAAAAGTTAGTACACAAAGTCATTTCAGTTCATGTACTCTAATTAGTCATCAAGCCTTGTTTAGCCTTAGGGACAGCCATAATTTGAGTGTCTGTTTCTCTGCATCTGCCAGATTGAAGACGGTTGATGTGTTGATGAGAAGCCTGCAGGCTGCAGAAAGTCAGGTGAGAAAGTATGAGAGTCGACTGAGTGAAGAGGATATTGTGCCCGCTGATACTGCTGCAATCCAGGCCTTGGGAGAGCAGTTAAAGGTGAGACACGCCGACACTTCACACATTCATTGGTAGTAGTTGACTAATATCTCAACCATATCAACTAATCGCCAAAGTAATATTTGTTCATTTGATATTATCATCATAAGACAATATTTGTTTTATTCAAAAACATTTTTTTAAGGGAAGGATTTTGCTACCTCAAAAGAAATAGATGCATGACGCAGACTTTTTGTTAAAATGCTTTCCCACTATCTTCGACATTCACTAAATTTGCATTTCGCCCCCTAGTGGCAGTTGCACAGAACTTTCAGATTGGTGGTGCAAAAGCAATTACCTTCTGCTTATTCACCATGCTATGAATATATCCATACAAACATTAAACAACCTCCCATTTTACAGAAATTGTGTTTAAAGAATAACATAGTGTTTAAAGTTTACTGAAAAAAATATTGGTAATTCTAACTTCACACTCATAGTTTTAATTAGAATACATCACATCTGGTCAGAATCAGAATGAGCTTTATTGCCAGGTATGTTTACACATACGACCACCTCTCATTGTTGTAAAAGCATGTCCCGCCGCCGCGCGATTTCCCCGTTGATTCTGCGTCGTGATCTGCTCTAAACAGCTGAAAGCCCGGCAGACTCAACGCGCTGTCCGGAATGGCGTCTTTCAGCCAGGTTTCCGTGAAACACAGAGCAGCAGAGTTTGAAAAATCCTTATTTGTCCAGGAGAGCTGAAGGAGTTCGTCCGTTTTGTTGGGTAGAGAGCGGAGATTCGCCAAATGGATGCTAGGCAACGGCGTCCTGAATCCGCGCTGCCTGAGCTTCACGAGCGCGCCGGCTCTCTTCCCCCGTCTGCGCGTCCTGAAGCACTTGATCAGCGCCGCAGCTCCCCCGACTACAATGTCCAGCAAAACATCAGAATAGTCGAAAACCGGTGAAATATCGGGTGGTGTGTACTGCCGAATGTCCAGCAATTCGTCTCTGGTGAAACTGATTGCAGGGATATAACTAAAGACAGGACAAACTAACAAAAACATAAAAACAACTGCGGAGCACGCCACGGAGGCAGCCATCAGCGTCGGTGCCATCTTGGTTGGTGGTTGGTGGGTGAAGTTCAGTTTCAGTGTACCCGAAGTTCAAATCAGATCCGAAAATTCTGCAGATGTGTATGATCGGAACTCCAGATATCTCTGGAAATTAGTAACTTCTGATCTGTTGTTTGTTAGAGACAGTGGAAAGGCAACTTTACTGTTGACTTTTTGGTTGCATTTCACACTCTGTCACGCTGTTGCAGAAATGGCATTCAGAGCTGGAGGAGCAGGATCACATATTCAAAAGTCTGAGTTTAGAGGTCCAGCAGACTAGAAAGGTCAGAAACCAGCTCAACCAACTGCACCCTGACCGCAGCCCTGAACTGGACCGCTATCAGGAGAAAGCGCAACAGCTCACAGAGAGGTGGAGTGGAGTGAGCAGGCAAATGGAGACACGGTGAGTTGTTTCGAAGTCAAAAGCGAGAGAATGAGTACCAATATTTTCTGTAATATTCCAGATTATAACACAAAGCATAATGTCCTACAGGCAAGCGGATCTGGAGGTGCTGGGTTCAGTGCTGCAGCAGTACAGAGAAGGCCACACCTCTCTTATCCACTGGATAGAGGAGACCACCAAAAAACAGGAGAACACGCAACCCGAGCAGACGGACAGCAAAGCTTTGTCAGAACAGCTCGCACAGCAAACAGTGAGAGACGACACTCTCACAATATTGATGAATACTTCCAAGTGTTGTAAAACAGATCAGTGTTTGATTCAGTATCTGTTCTTCTGCAGGCCTTGGTGGCTGAGATAGAACAGAACCAGGTCAACCTGGATGAATGTCAGACGTACTCTAAACAGTACTGCGCTGCTGTTAAGGTAAGCACTCAGTCAAAGTGACCAGTGTCGGCTACTGCTTACTGGTAGTCATCATGGAGAAATGGAAACATAAACACTTGTTTCACAAAATATATTTCTCCTTACTAGACCATGTCTTCCATTTTATGCATTAGGACTATGAACTCCAACTTATGACGTTCAGAGCTTTTGTTGAATCAACCCAGAAGTCCCCTGTGAAAAGGAGGAGGATGCACTCTTCATCAGATGTCATCACACAGGAGGTAAATGCAGGAAAACCAGGCTCATATGATATTAATTTAATATATTTATAACATTTATATTTTCATGTTGCCTTCAAATGTTTTAATCACATTTTTCTACTACGTCTTAGTTTATGGATTTACGCACACGCTACACAGCTCTGGTTACCCTGACAACGCAACATGTCAAGTATATTAGTGATGCACTACGGCGACTAGAGGAGGAAGAGGTGTGTTACGCTTTCCTAAGTCTCCTACATTCAGTTTTGATTTTTACCTACTGTATACTTGCACAAGTATTCACATAATAAAAACAACATCAGATTTCATCATACAGCGTATGTTTAATGAAAATGTTTCCACTTTGTGGTACAGAAAGAGGTGGAAGAAGAGAGGCAGGCACGAGTGGGGCAGGTCTCAGAGCTGCTCGGCTGGGTCAATGGCCTACAGGAGCGCACTGGCAGATCTGCCGAGCCATCACTTGCTGCACAGCAGGTAGATTTTGAGTGAAAATAGAATATTGCCTATTTTTAAGTATTCTGCAGACAGTAGTGTATCAGTCAACACTGAGTAGATTGTATGTGTCAAAGTGGCTTTGAAATACTGTATATGTCTCACTTCTAGGCTATTAGTGAGCAGTTAGCAGCTAAAAAAGAGGAAGTTGCTGAAGCTATCAGGAGCACCCAAGTTTTCCTGATGTCAAAACAGGCCAGCAAGTGAGTTTGCACTATACGATCTTCAACACACATACAGCGGTTCTCAGACTTTTTATACCAAGTGCTACCAAGTCGAGATCAGTCTATTTCAGAGCATTTACTCCAGGTCATATTTGCAACAACTTAAAAAAATAAATAAAAAAAGTCTTGTCTTGTCTTATTTTTTTCTGATTAAAATGGATTCAAGAAGAAATAGCCTGCAAGCTGCAGCATATAAGATAGGTCTTTGCATTAAAATTAGATTGTAAATAATTAAGAAATTTGAAATAAATTATACATGAGAAATACGTTTTCAGTATATTTAATAAAAATATTTTTGAAGATATGTTTACTTGACTTTTGCAAAGACAAGTGGGATTTGAACAAAAATATTTTTAGTGTTTCAAAATTTCAGAGTTGTGTACCTTGCCACTTGCAGTGCTGTTTTAGTATTATTTACATACTAGTATAATATTCATATTTTGAATTAGATTTTATGTTCAGTTTTAATACTATTTTCAGTTTTAGTTCATTATAGTGATTTTATGTGCTTTTGTCATTTTTTTATTAGTTGTTTTCTATTTACCTTTCATTTATTTTTATTTCAGCTTTATTTTAATTATCAAATATGATTTTTAATAGATTTATTTTACAGTAACCCTGGCCTCTTGGGGTTGTACTGTGTACCATAGTTTGAGAACAACTGCACTATATTCACATCCACCTTGAAGTACCAGTAAATGTTAAATATGCATGCACTTACTCAAACACAAATGCATACGTTGTTATTAATGAAGCGCATTTATCTTTAGGCTGTCTCCTGATGAGCGTGCACAGGTGGTCTCCCAGCTGGATGAGCTGACGGCCACCTACACTCAACTGTGTGACAGTTCTAACGCACAGTTGCAACAACTTGAGGAGCAGCTGGCCAAAGAGGAGAAGCACAAGGTAGAGTTAGAGGGGCAAGAGAAAGTCAGCCGTGACAGCAGTGTTCAACTTTGCCAAAGCGAGCTTCAACAGCAAAAAGCTTGTCTTGAAATGCTTCTGAAATATATTGCTTTAAATAGTGGTCTTCGTTATGGTCAAGTTTTGTCAGTGTGCTAGAGATATGCTACAGCAGTGTGTTATGTGTGAGCTAGAGCGAGTGAATTATTATTATTTTTTTTTTATGTTGCCTGCCACATGTGGTTTAACATTCATCACCACATTCATACATCTCACAGATATTGTCTTATTTAACAGTTATAAAAAATGTATAGCATGGTGTGAAATCTAAACCATTCCTATTTTCTACAACATGCCTGATATCATGTCACCAACACCATCCTTATTTGTCATTATTAATCAAGCACATCTGCTTAAACGCAACTCATCGTTCATTAGAGTAGAATAGTGTGACTCTTTGGCATCAGAAACTGCTTCTTTAGCCACTTTAGTGCCCATTGAAGCCACATGCACATTGTAGATTAGCTTTTTCTTTCTTTTTTACATTTCATTTAAATAAGGCACATATAAACATGTAAATGTAAAGGCATAAATGTCATTACATTCATATTGTTTTGTTGCCACATGCAGCCACAAACATTGTGTAGAACTGTTCACCCATACGATATCATTCATCATGTAGTGATTACTGTGTGAACAATGGTATGTTTGTGTTTGAATGGCTAGAAGCTAAAGATATAAACAAGATCAGAAAGCAGTCGTCAAAATATTTTTCCTGTGGATTGGTCTAGACTTAGCGCAAAAAGCAGCTATGCAAACCTCCACCTCACTCTTTGAGCATGATGTGTCCAGATCACAGCTATGTTTGTTTGTGTGTTTGTATGTGTGATATTGTCTGTTTTCAGTCCATGTCTTTAATACTGTAATTCTTTGTGAAATTTAATCAGCATTTTGCTTCAAAATCACTAACAGCTGCCGGGAGAAATTGTAAGACATCTTCTCAGAATTGGGAGTAAGAAAAATGTGTTATTCAGAATGCAGGACTATCCTTAGTTGATTAGTAATAAAAAATTATGTGTATATACCAACCAAGATCTTCACACATTCATAGGTAAGTCTCAAAACAAATATGTAGAAAGAACTCAGTGTATGAAATTAGGTAAAAGTGGTATGAAAATGTAGACAGCCAGTCCCGGGTTGCATATCAGGCAGCTGGAGTGTGGCATGCAGATCGCTAACATCCAGCTTCTCACCCTATCGCACCTCAAACCGCCGAACACTCAGTGTGTGTGCGTCTAAGGACCACCTCACACGGTAAGTAGTGCTTGCTTTCTTTCTTACTGTTGCTTTCTTTCTGACCTAGCAATATGTTCTTAAGATCTGTTTTCTCTTTTCTTTGTCCTCTTAGTGTATTTTAAATGTTCAGTTTGTGCATTTTTGCATATTTTTTGCACACTGCAGTGCTGTCCTGCCAAATGTTTTTTGCATGTACAAAATGTAATGTTTTTAAAGAACATGATACTTGGTATTTTTGTTCATTTTTCTTTATACTCATGAATAAATGCATGAATATTAGTATCAAGATGATTTGCTTCTTATGCTGATTTAAGTTACTTCAGCTATGGTGATGGGCATATTTCTCTTTCCCTCCCAGTTAAACTGTGAATAAAAATACACGGCAAAATCAAATAAGAACCATTTTGAAAATTTATGATTTTTACCTTTTCATAGGGCCAAGAAGTCATCGCTGGAGTAATTGACCTTGGCACCATGGAAACCTTTCCAGTTTTCCAGGCAGCTCAGCGTGGCCTCATAGACCAAGACACCTGTCATGTACTGTTGGAGGCACAGGTCATCATGGGTGGTCTATTCCAGTATGACTCCCCTGATAAACTGTCATTAGATAAGGGTCTTTCCAGTGGTTTGATTGATAAACAAACTTACCAATCACTGGAAGAGTTAGAGACTGCCCTTGGTCTTGTCAACACAGTAAAATTTGCAGAGGGTCAGGAATTACCAGTCGCCACTGCTATGAAAGAAGGTGTCATAAAGGAGCTGATGGGACTACGTATACTTGAGTTGCAGATAAGCACTGGCAGCCTGAAGTTTGGTTCCAGTGGAGAAATGGTCAGCCTGGATAATGCAAGGGAGAAGGGATTGTTATCCCCTGATCTTTGTCAAAAGCTGCAATCCTGTCTTCACCGGCGAGAACTTATTGATCCAAATACAGCAGAAAAACTAAGTCTGGTTGAATTTCAACAGCGTTGTGTTGTCAATCAAGAGACGGGTCTGCGCTTCTTTCCGGTTAAACAGAAGCCAGGAGGAACTGTCTGCTTATGCTCTGGCAGAAAGGTGGGAATATTCTGTGCTGTTCAAGAGGGGCTTATCGACCGGCATGTCACAGTTCGACTTCTGGAGGCTCAGTTGTTTGCTGGAGGTATCACAGACCCCCGCTCAGGACACAGATTGACTGTTAATGAGGCTGTCCGGCATGGCCTAATGGATCAGGACTTGGCCTGCACCCTCATGACACGACAGCTACAAGCAGGGGGAATAATAGATCCAGTCAGTGGGGAGCGTCTAGAGTTGGATGAGGCCATAAAAAGAGACCTTCTCTCTCCTCGCATAGCCTTACATGTACTTCAATCTCTCCAGTCTTTCATGGCAATAATGTGGCCAGAATCAGGGGAGTTGCTTCATGTAAGTGAGGCACTTCAGCAGGGTGTCGTCAATAGAGAGCTTGCTGCAAAAGCCCTGAGAAAACGTCATTCTGTTGGTGCAGTATATCTGCCTGAGAGTGGACAGGTGGTCCCTCTGCATCAAGCTGATAAGATACTTAAGCCTCAGGCAGTGGAGATCCTAAAACAGATCCAGGTTCCAGATGTCCTTCCCAATGTGACTCAGTCAAGTTCCTCATATATGAAGCGATTGAGTTCTGGATCTGCCTATTCTTCATCACCCCCTGCCTCACATGCAGATGTCAATTATGACTTTTCCATCATGGAGGAAGGTAGGTCAGAAGAACAGGTTCAATACCACCTTCTCACTCAAGTGATGACACACAGCTACATTGATGCTCACTCAGGAGAACGTCTAGTCCTACTAGAACCTGAACTGGTAGAACTAATATGTGAAAATGTTAAAACCACAAATCTTGTCAGACCAGTCCAACACAAAATCTGTGATAACATTAGAGTTACAATGGACAGTGAAGCTATTAGTGGGATTGAAGAGGAAGAACATGAAGAACCCAAAATTATACAATATGAAATTGCCTGCAAAGACTCTTATTTGGAAGAGACTATAGAAATGTCAGGGGAAGATCTTGCACCCTTGATGGTCACCAACAAAACCTTTAAAGAGCCTTTGCATAAAGTAGTTTTGCAAGAGAAAGTTCTGTCATCAGAAGAGTATGAACAACCCAAGATAAAAGGTAAAATTGTCTGCAAGATCACTGATATAGGAGAGACAGTAGAAAGAACAGAAGATCTTGCACCATTGACAGAAACAAACATAGCTTTTAAAGAGCTTTCAAATGATGAGATTCAAGAAGTTTTGTCATCAAGAGACTATGTAGAACCCAAGGTTAAAAAAGGTGACATTGACAGGAAGAACACTGACATGGGTAAGACTATAGAAGGAGCATTGGAATATGTTGCATGCTTGACAGGCACAGACAGAACTTTTATAGAGCCTTCACATGCAGAGGTTTGGCATGAGAACTTTCTATCATCAAGAGAATGTGAAGAACCCAAGATTAAGAAAGATGAAATTGAGAGCAATAATACTGTTGTGGGTGAATCTATCGAACTGGCAGAGAAAGATCTTCCACACTTGGTGAGTAAAGACAGACCCTTTATAGTGCCTTCACATAAAGAGGACTGGCAAGAGAAAGTTTTGTCACCAGGAGGACATGAAAAACCCAAGGTTTTAAAAGGTAAAATTGCCTGGACAAACACTGATATAAGTGAGACAGTAGAAAGTGTAGAGGAAGATATTGCACCCTTGGCAGGCACATCCAGAGCTTTTATAGTGCCTTTACATAAAGAGAACTTACAAGAGAAAGTTCTATCGACAGGACAATATAAAGAACCCAAGAGTAAAAAAGATGAAATTGCCAGCAAGAAGACTTACATAGGTGAGACACAAGATCTTGCAGCTTTAAAAGGCTCAGAAATAACCTTTATAGAGCCTACACATGAAGTTGTTTGGCAAGAGAAAGTTCTGTCATCAGGAGAATATGAAGAACCCATTATTATGAAAGGTAAAATTGCCTGGAGGAACACTGGTATGGGTGAGATGATAGAAAAAGCGGAGAAAGATTGTGCACCCTTGACAGACGCAGACAGAGCTTTTATAGAGCCTTTAAATAAAGAGAATTTACAAGAGGAAGTTCTTTCATCAGGACAATATAAAGAACCCAATATTAAAAAAGATGAAACTGTCAGCAAGAAGACTAACATAGGTGAGACACTAGAAAGACCAGAGGATGTTGCAGCTTTAACAAGCTCAGAAATGAACTTTATAAAGCCGACACATGAAGTTGTTTGGCAAGAGGGAGTTCTGTCATCAGGAGAATATGAAGAACCCATGATTATGAAAGGTAAAATTGCCTGGAAGGACACTGGTATGGGTGAGATGATAGAAAGAGCAGAGAGGGATCTTGCACCCTTAACAGGCACAGAAGGAACTTTTATGGAGCCTTCACATGCGGTTTTGCAAGAGAAAGTTCTGTCATCAGAAGAGTATGAACAACCCAAGATAAAAGGTAAAATTGTCTGCAAGATCACTGATATAGGAGAGACAGTAGAAAGAACAGAAGATCTTGCACCATTGACAGAAACAAACATAGCTTTTAAAGAGCTTTCAAATGATGAGATTCAAGAAGTTTTGTCATCAAGAGACTATGTAGAACCCAAGGTTAAAAAAGGTGACATTGACAGGAAGAACACTGACATGGGTAAGACTATAGAAGGAGCATTGGAATATGTTGCATGCTTGACAGGCACAGACAGAACTTTTATAGAGCCTTCACATGCAGAGGTTTGGCATGAGAACTTTCTATCATCAAGAGAATGTGAAGAACCCAAGATTAAGAAAGATGAAATTGAGAGCAATAATACTGTTGTGGGTGAATCTATCGAACTGGCAGAGAAAGATCTTCCACACTTGGTGAGTAAAGACAGACCCTTTATAGTGCCTTCACATAAAGAGGACTGGCAAGAGAAAGTTTTGTCACCAGGAGGATACATAGGTGAGACACAAGATGTTGCAGCTTTAACAGGCTCAGAAATAACCTTTATAGAGCCTACACATGAAGTTGTTTGGCAAGAGAAAGTTCTGTCATCAGGAGAATATGAAGAACCCATTATTATGAAAGGTAAAATTGCCTGGAGGAACACTGGTATGGGTGAGATGATAGAAAAAGCGGAGAAAGATTGTGCACCCTTGACAGACGCAGACAGAGCTTTTATAGAGCCTTTAAATAAAGAGAATTTACAAGAGGAAGTTCTTTCATCAGGACAATATAAAGAACCCAATATTAAAAAAGATGAAACTGTCAGCAAGAAGACTAACATAGGTGAGACACTAGAAAGACCAGAGGATGTTGCAGCTTTAACAAGCTCAGAAATGAACTTTATAAAGCCGACACATGAATTTGTTTGGCAAGAGGGAGTTCTGTCATCAGGAGAATATGAAGAACCCATGATTATGAAAGGTAAAATTGCCTGGAAGGACACTGGTATGGGTGAGATGATAGAAAGAGCAGAGAGGGATCTTGCACCCTTAACAGGCACAGAAGGAACTTTTATGGAGCCTTCACATGCGGTTTTGCAAGAGAAAGTTCTGTCATCAGGAGAATGTGATGAATCTGCAATTTTAAAAGGTAAAATTGCCTGGAGGTATGCTGATGTGAGAGAGACAATAGATAGAGCAGAAGGAGATCTTGCACCCTTGACAGGCACAGAAGGAACTTTAATGGAGCCTTCACATGAGGTTTGGCAAGAGAAACATTTGTCAGGAGAATGTGATGAACATAAGATTAAAAAAGATGAAATTGACAGGAAGAACACCGAAATGGGTGAGACTATAGAAAGAGCAGAGGAAGAGATTCCACTCTTGACAGCCACAGTAAGAGCCTTTATAGAGCCTTCCCAAGAAGATTACTGGCAAAAGAATGTTCTGTCATCAGGACTATATGAAGAGCCCAAGATTAAAGTAAATAAAATTGCCAACATGAAGACTGATCTGGGTGAGACTATAGAAAAGACAGAGGAGCATCTTGCACCCTTGACACTGAAAGACCTAAACTTAACAGTGCCTTTTCACACAAGCTCAACTCTACCGAAGACTATATCAGATAATGGGGCACCCTCTCAGAATCAAATTATAGATTCAACATTAAATGAGTCTAAAAATAAGCAAACATTTGTCCTGGAACAAGCAGATAGTAGTGGGGTATTTCTAGAGATAACGGAACAAAAAATGTGTGACATGAGTGAAAGCAGTGCACATACTTCACTACAAGATACTGTAAACGTCAGACAGTATGATCAGCTGAATGTCAAACCAGATGAAGCCAAGACTGCAAAACAGCCAGAGGAACTAAAGGAAATGGTTGAACATGAGGAAAATAAAAGAATCTTTTATCAGCCTGGTAAAGATGAGAAATTATACCCTTCAGAAAGGAAGACTTTGTCAGTGGAACTAAGTGATGATGATGTGAAGCTTGGGAGTATGGCAATGGAACTGCAACAAGGGGGTCTTGTAACTGTAGGTGGCCAGAAAGTTCTCTTGGATGATGCTCTGGCACAGGGTTTGCTTCCAGGGCACACTGCTATTAAGCTTATGGAAAAAGCTGGTCTCTTTGGTGGTTTTCTGGATATTAAAGCCTGTAAGTCACTTAGTGTTGAAGATGTGATGCAAGAAGGCCTGTTGGATGAGGACTTGATGGCCCGTGTTCTTCATTCAGAAAATATATTAGCCGGTGTGATTGATGTGGAGCATGGTCGGCTTTGCTCAGTAAAGGAAGCTGCTGAGGCAGGCCTGTTGGACTCTGATACGGCTGTTCGACTTCTTGAAGCCCAGGTTGTGTCAGGGGGAATAGTTGACCTACTAAGAGACAAGAAGGTATCAGTTACCCTTGCAGCCAACCTTGGGTTGATTGAAGAAGGTAGGAAAGAGAAGATTCTTTCACTGGAAAAGTCATGCAGAAGAAAATGTTCAGATCAAAATGCAGTGCAAACCAAGTTTGCACTACAGTTACAAATGAAAGGAGTGATGGACCCAAAAACCGAAAAGCCTGTCCCACTGGAACAAGCCCTTCAAACTGGCTTAATTGGACAGGATGAGGCTCAGATGATTCTATGCCAGCAGGTTGCAGAAGGTGGTATTGTGCATCATGGCTCTGGTGTTCGCCTTACTGTTGTGGATGCACTACACCTGGGTCTCATAAATCACACAGTCGCTCCAAAGTTGATGGAACTGGAAAAGGCTTTCAAAGGCCAAGAGCCATGTAGTTTGGATCAAGACACTTCATTTCTTCAGGCCTCTACAGGTTCTATTTATGATGATGCATCAAAAAGCAGGATTACTCTGAGCGAGGCTGTTTCTAAAGGCCTTCTAGATGATGAAACGGCAAATAAAGCTATGGCCTCACCCAATGTGAAGAGCGGATTGTTGGACCCTCATAAAGCTTGTGTTGTGTCCTACTCTGAGCTGATAAACCAGGGTAAAATTGACATTGAGACAGGACAGAGATTCCTTGAAGTGAGACCTTTCAGGGGTGTTCCACATAAACAAACTGATGAAATGATGACCATACCACAGGCAATTAAGGCAGGCCAAGTAGATCCCATACCAGCAGTGAGAGTATTGCAGAGTCAAGCAGATACAGGGGGTATCATTAACATTTATAGTGGAGAGCGGTTGCTTCTTCCAGAGGCTATAAATAAAGGCTTAGTTGATAAAGACATGGCTAAATGTATTGCTACAAATCAACTCTTGAAAGGGGGGTTGCTCAGTCCAGCCAGTGGGCAGAGGGTCTCCAGCATTACTGAGGCAGTTGAATATGGGCTTATTTCTACAGAAATGGCTGCAGAACTTCAACACAGCATGGGCCTTGTAGATGAAGATGAGAGGAAAAGTTCCAAAATACCAGCTTCTTTAACGAAAGGACCATCTAGTTCTTTTTTTCCTGAGATGATATCAGAGCGGGTCAGTCCTAATAAAATGTCACTTGAGAAAAGTCTATTGAGTATACCATCCCCACCATCATCATATCTTACAGAGGCTGAAATAAAAGATGCAGATCCTCTGAAAAAAGAGGAGCTTGAATCTTTTGACGTCCGTCCTGATTTGCAAAGTAAGGAACAATTGGTTGATGCAGTGATGCAGGACAGCAATGATACATCATTGGAGGTTCTGACAGAATTTACCTTGAAAGCAGAAAAGAGACTTCAGCAGGCCATTAAAGAGATAAAGCCCACAGAAAGCGAATATATAAAATCACAGCCAATTCAAAGCCCTGAGCAACCTGAAGAGATTACTGATATCAAATCGCAAAAGGTGGAAGTTAAGAACTCAACAGCTTTACTTGACAACACCACAGAGTTGGAAATCCAGAGGCAGACAGTAAATAAATCTGCAGTTTCTACTGCCATATTATTAGAAAGCAGTGATAACAGCAAGGAACAAGTCCCATTTACAGAGCAAACAAAAGGAGAGAGAAAGATCCAAAGGCAGAGAGTAAGTGAACCTGCAATCAATTTATCAAACACTGATGATGGCTTGCAAAACAAGGAACAAACCGCATCTATAGAGCAAATAGAAGGGCATAGTTTCAAGCTAGAAGCAGATCAGTCAGTGTCAAAACAAGAGAAAATCAAGGACAGCCAGGAGACTGGATTGGATCCTTATGCTTCTACACCCACAAGGCCAGTTAAGGCATCAGGAAAAAAGAAAGGCAGAGGGAAAAATGTTAAGCAAGCTAAAATGGAAAGTGATGTAAAGCCACAAGTTTCAGACACCTTAGCCAGGATTTCACCTATAGAAAAAGCAGAAGATGATGGACAAGGTGGCTTTACCACTAGTCAAAAGCCTATTATGAAAGACGATGAAGAGAAGGTGATTGAAGTACAGCTATCAGAGACATCCCATGCAAGTGGTATCCTTACACCTGTGACAGGGAGTGATGAGACTGTGCAAGGCAAATATTTGGAAATAGGTGTGGATAGAACTCCTAATGAAACTGAAACCTCCAACCGTGAGTCTGATCATGAAAGCAATGCAAGACAGAAAGAGAAGACTCTAACACAGCACAGTGTTACAACTTGCATGGCAAAAACTGACCAGCGTCAGGAGGCTATTGACGTCTCTAAGGACCTTGCCACTGATATATCAGAAAAGAAGAGAAAGAAGAAAAGCAAAAGTAAAAAAGTTAAGCAAGTGTGTATTGTTGAAGCAGCAGGAGTAGAGAAAAGAGATGATGAGACTGAGAAAGAGCATAAGACTGTGATCCATGAGGTCGAACTTCAAATCAGTCAATCAGGTGAGAAAGAAAGTATGAAGCAACTTGAGAAAGCCAATCAGGCAATGGCACAGAAGGAAAAACTTTTGATGAAAGCTAAGGAAAGCATTCTTAGGAAGGTGTTTGAGCGAGGAGTGAGTGAAAAACAAGCTGCTGAAGAATTAGAAGCGATGCGTCAAGTAGCTAGTAATGGAGAATACCGCATTACCACCCAAGAGGAAACTATTGTAGAGAAGACGAGCTGTAAGCCTCCTCAAAGTAAGAAGGACAATAAACTACACCAGACGGGGCAAGAAATGAACGAAAGGTCAGTGCCAAACATTGCAGAGAATCTTCTACCTGGGTCTGATAGTGATCCATGCTCCTCAGCTAAAGCACAGCTTCAAAAACAGGAAGAAGATCAGCATGACAAGCATACAAACACGGGATTAAGTGGAGATGATATGAATCAGAATATTCCATCTATGAAAACCTCTGATGACATTGTGAACATAAACCAGAAAAAACTGGTTCTAATCCAGAATTTAGAAGGAGAAACCAAAGAAAGAACAGCAGAAAAACAAAGCATTGAGCCATTATATACAGATGAAATGTTGATAGACCCTATGAGTGAATTGACCTTGCCATCAAGCACTGCAGTGACTGACAGCCATGAAATTGCTAAATCAATACCCCTCAAATGTGTCTTTGACATCCCAGCAGTGAAGGACTCCAAAGCACTTCTATTAAGTGAGGTGTGTATTCCTTTACAAAATACCAAAACAGCAGTGAAAAAGGTAAGCAGTGAAGTTCATCAAGAAAGAATCGAGGAGCCCCCTTTCAGTGATTATGAAGGCACAGATGAACCTTCTATCCAACAATGTAAAGTTTCTGGTCTACCCCATATGGAGGTGATCCCAGAGTCTGATACCAAACAGAAAGAAGAGGTGGAAGAATATGCAGAGGCTTTAGTGGAACCGCAGCCTGGAGAAGTTCAAATGAATATTGAACAAATAAGAAAAGACACCACAAAAGCTAGCAAGGTAAACGGTAGTTCTGAAGATCTTTCTTGAAGTTTTTGTAAATTGTTTACTGCAAATTGATTCTTTTTAATCTTTTCCTTTCGTTTTTAGTCCTCACTGGCTCGCCAAGAGTGCTTAGAACATGACCAACAGATTGTGGCTTTGCTTTCTATGGTGAGACACATTGAGGTCCGCCTAAAGCAGCAGCAGCAACAGTCCGTTGGTCGAGGTCTCTCCACAATCGATGACATAATCAAACAGATAGAGGTACAAGATTTGTATTACAGCAAATGTTTGATATGTTGCCAATTTAACAGGTTGTTTAAGCTTACAAGTGCTGTATTTTATTTAAATTATTATTTAATTCTCTTTTCAGATGCTTTTTCTGGAAATTAGTGACCTGGAACCAGAAGTGCGCCAGGAGACTGAAGCAGCTACACAGCTGCTGGAGTCTTACCCTCAGAATGTTCCACCTCAGCTGCTTAAGGCCCTGGAAAAAGATGGGCGAAGCTTAGCTCGGGCTTACAGTGCAGCCAGAGACCTTGCCCAGAATACTTTGCAGGGGTTACGAGCACAACGTGATGCACAAAACGTAATAAAAATTCCTACAAAGTTTAGTTTAAAGAGTATTTTTTTCATGACAGAAAAGTTTCTTTTAAATCTCTTTGCATGATTTTTATATTTTTACAGGAAGCTGTAAGCAGTCAGCTGAAAGCTTTACAAGAGCAAGTTGATAAACTTCTTATCTGGCTTAAGGAGACTGAGACACAAATGCAGGAAGAAATAGGGGTACATGGACAGACGGTGGCCGAGATCACTCAAAAGCAACAGTTGTGCAAAGTAAAACATCGACAGTGATGATATCCTATCTAGCATTTACAGATATTTACATTTGTAGTTACAATGATGGCATCTTTTTCATAGTCGTTCATTTTTTTCCCTACAGATGTTACAGAACTCTCTTGCTGCCCGATCCAATGAAGTCAGCAATGTGGCGTTCAATATTCAGGTGTTTATCTCTGAACATGCTCAGGACCTGTTGCCTGATCAGAGCAGGCGTCTCCTTGGACAACTGGAGCAGCTACAGAGGGTCTTTCACCAGGCTGTTGGTCTCAATCATGCCAGGGCAGAGGCACTATCAGCCCAGCAGGCGAGAGAGAACCAACAAATTAGGAAAGAACAGAAAGAAAAAGAAGAGAGAATGGAAAAAGAGAGACAAACTACAAGGGACAGAGAGGTTTGCAAAGAGATGTATAAATGCTTGTGCTGCCAAATTAAAAGCAAGAATATTCAATTTTACTTTTAACAGTCTCACAATCATTCAACTGGGATAAAGAAAAACTTCTAATGCATTAAGAACAGAACATTTGTGGTAACAGATAACCACACTACTGATGCATGCATGAATACTTGTTAGCACGAATGCTGCATTTTAAAAATTTAAATAATCTTCACATGCATGTAACTATCAGTATGATCTACTTGTACAGTTAATTTTACAGCGCTATAATAATGCTGATCTGTTGTTTCAGTAATGCTTCTGCAGAACTCAACAATAACGACTTTTGTTTGCTGGCCAAGTCAAGCCAGTAGTTTAGATTTTTAGTTGCCGTAGAATTTTTTTACTGGCCCCACTGCTAAAACATTACATTTTTAGCAACATATTTGTATGTGTCAGGAACAATAATTTAAAAATACTAATTATAAACCTTTATATTATTTTTATTTATATATTAAATGATACATATATTTATTTAGGAATTACAGAAATTACAACAAATTTTTGATGTTTTATATTTGTACCTGAAAATTTTACAACTATAATGTATTGAAAATGTACAGCTTTGAAGTGCATACTGTGCATAAGTCCAGTATTCTGTTAGAGCTCTAAGATTCATACTTCAGCTTCCTACTTTTGCTAAAAAAACGTTGAGTGTATATAATGCTGTACTCACATAGTGTATAATTATTAACTTATGCTTTCAACACTATCACAAGTCACAGTTTTGACAAAACCTCATGTATATTATCCAGCTACATAACATGACCTTATTTCAATAGAAATCTTTATTGTTGAGCTTTGTTCTGTAGCCACCTGCATTACAAACTTGAGTGTGCGAGCTGCGTGTGAATGAACATAACATGTATATTAACCTGTCTGCCTTGCTCTTACAGATTGCCACAGAAGACACATTTGGAAAACACTAAAGATTTAAATGTAGCCTCACTGTATAGCTTGCTTGTTTTTAACCTTTCTTTTGTAGAAAAAGAAGAAAATATCTGAGATGTTTTAGTATTTGTCCTAAGGTCTTTTGTTTATTTTTGTGCTTCACTGGCCTGTTGTGTTTTTATTTGTTTATTTTGGTGCTTTGTGTGATGAATTTGGACACATCATGCTCAACCAGTGTAAATTGTTTACTTTGTGTGAAATCTGGCAAGTATGAGAGTTTGGGGTAAAAACGATAGCATGATGAATACTTAGAAGTTTAAGAGAATTATGATTATAATTGATCAAATGCAAATCTTTATCACTTTTTTTACCTCCCTTTTTACCGTGGATATAGGTTGTGCAGCAGCAGAAGGCAGAATGCTGTCAAAAACTGGAGAATCTCACAATGTGGTTGGCTGGTGCTGCCAGCCTCTTGGCCAATCAGAGAGTTGGAACCGAGTCAGATGATGTGAACGAGTTACAGCAGAAGCAAAGAGAGCTTAAGGTGTGATAGCATCTGATATTTACCTCATGCAGCTGTATTACACAATGTCTTGCATAAGACATTAATTGTTTTTTTTAATTTAATTGTTATGTTTGGTTTATTGTTATTGTTTGTACCCCATAAATAAAGGAGGTGGAGAAGGACCTTCAGACCAAAAGTGACTTGTTGACTGAGACTATCCACTCAGTGGAGGAGTTGCTGTCTGAGCAGGGTGACAGTTTGAGTCCTGAAGAGAGGGCCAAACTACAGGGGACTCTTTCACAAATGAAAGAGCAGCACGGCTCACTTACAAACTCAGTCCGCTCTTCACTAAGTAAAGTAGACACTGCCATTGTCACAACACTGCAACAGAACACACAAAGAGTAAGCAGTTCACATTTTTTCTGTCGCATTTGTCATCATTTCTTATTCTTTTTTTTAATCATTATCATATTTTCATTCTTCCCAAGGCTAAAGCAGAGGAGCAGATGCAGGAGACACAGGAAAAAATAGACACACTTCTCAGAGAATTGTCATCACTGGATGACTCAAAGAGGAGGTCACTTGGCAACACTGTCACTGACACCCCATCATCTGTACCACCGGAGAATGCTATAAATTCCCACAGTGACATGCTTCAGGTCAGATTCTTAAATTGATGTTGGTAATTATCTGTTTTACCAATATGGCAACTCAATTCTAAAGTTCATTCATGTGTTCAGTTCTAACGTAAGTTCTAAAGAAGTGGTTCTCATCCTTTTTGACTCCATTGTCCACAGCAATATTCAAAGGCCCTTGACTCTTCCAGTTATTCGTGATTTACTGGATAAGGATTTAAAAAAATATTTTTTATTTCTACCCGAAAAAAATATCTTAGAACTTGTCATAACTAGAAAAATATATATTCATTAAAAAAATGTAGATATGAGATTTTATTGATTTTCATGACTTTTCCAGATCTGGAAATCACACTTTTAAAAATTAGGCTACCATATATTTAAGTTTTGGAAGCCCTTGGAAGTTTTCTTAAGCCACTTGTGGGCCCTGGCCCCCTGATTAAGAACCTTTGTCAGTTCTAAAGTTCTGAAGTTGCAAAGTTTGTTTTTTAAAGTTCAATTAATTTTTTGGACAGCCCTAAAGCAAGTTCTTTCAATTGTTCAGTGTTTAGTTCCATGGATTCTAATGTTTAATATTAGTCAATCATGTCTGTCAGCAGTACCCAGTTTGCATTTTGTTGATTCCACCAGACTGAGCTGCAGCAGTTACAAGCTCAACAGGCTCACCTTCAGCAGGTGGCCCAGTCTGTCCACTCTCTCCTGGAACAGCCCGACTCCAGTGTGCCACCAGAGGAGAAACAGCGCTTACGGGCAAAACTAGAACAATTACAGAATCAGCATCAGGAGCGCCTTCAGAACTGTCAGGACAGGCTAAGGCGGGCAGAGGCCCTCGGAGATGAGTTTGCCAAGTTTGTGCAGGAGCATGGGAACCTAGGGACATGGCTGGATCAGAGTGAACAAGAGCTACGTTCACTCGGTGAAGGGGAAACTGATGCAAAGGGCCTAAAAGATAGGATTGAGGAGCACAAAAAGGTATCAAAATATGGTCTAACATAATAAATTTACTTCAGGTAGAAAGTAAAATACTTTAAGAATGTGTTTCTCTGTATTTTACAGCTTGCAGATGATGTCATCTGTCACAAAGCGGATCTGCGCTTTGTGACAATCTCTGGGCAGAAGGTTCTGGATTCTATCCAGGGGGCCTTGGAGAAGGTGGGCAGTACGGATCCAGCTCTGGAGGAAACCAGACACCTAGTGAGTGGCAAGCTCCAAGATGCCACTAAGCGCTACGGTTCATTACACAGCAAGGTGGGTACAAAACAGCCTCGTATTCTTTCAGTCAACAATGACATATTATGGGCTGAAGAGATACTGAATCTTGTGTGTTCCTTCTTTCAGTCCTCAGAGCTTGGCACCCATCTCTCAGGTCTCCTGGAGCGATACCAACACTACCAGGATGAGGCTGGTTCTTTAGTCTCCTGGCTGAGCACTCAGGAGCAAAATCAGAGTGTATTTAAAGCCAGCGGAGAGCAAACGGACACTCAGACATTGCAGCATACGCTCAGTACTGTACAGGTTGGGTTATTAATGCTTTTCTGGCTAAAATATTTGAGGAAAACTCACAAACAATTTTACCATATGGATAAACTAATGGAAACGATCACCTAATCAAAATGTAGTTTCCATACTCTCTTAGGAATCATCATAATTAATCAGCTTATTCTCTCTTCTGCTGTATTTTCTTAGCTGTTGCAGGATGAGTTGGCAGAGCGTTCGGTACAGCTTGAGAAGGTCAAGAGGACAGGAAAAGAGCTGGTCAGCACTCAGGAGTCCCCAGCTCTCAAAAATGCAGATATTAACAATCTTACAGGTAAGTTCATTCTCAGTATCAGGAAATAATTTACTTGAAAGAGTGTTCATTCCACCAGGAAATTGAAATGAGCACAGTAGTGCTCACCAAGTCAGTTTTTAAAAAAAATCAAAAATACAGTAAAAACTGTAATATTGTGAAATAATTTTATTGCGATTCAGAATATCTTTTCTATTTGAATATATTTGAAAATGTATTTTATTTTTGTGATTTAAAAGTTGAATTTTTAGCAGCCATCACTCCAGTCTTCAGTGTCACATGATCTTTCAGAAATCATTCTAATTTGCTGATTTGATGCTCAAAAAGCTATTTTATTGATATCAGTGTTGAAAACAGTTGTGCTGCTTAATATTACAATTTTTTTCTTAGGATTTCTTGATGAATAGAAAGAACAGCATTTATTTGAAATATAAATATTTTATAACATTATGAAAGTGTTTACTGTCACTTTTGATAAATTAAGTGTATCCTTCCAGAACAAAAGTTTTAAATTCTTTAAAAAAAAAATTCTTAGCAACCACGAGCATCCAATTGAGCATCTAATTAACCCAACACGGCAATATTGGCTCAGCCAGTGACGTGTTTCACAACTCACTGGAATATTTGTTTTTGACTGGTAGATAAAGTCACTGTGATGTCAAATATTTTAGTTTGATTGACAGTATAATTTATAGTGATTTATCCAAAATACCCTTTTAAAAATAATACAAGACATGATCTGGTTTTTATTTTGTGCTAATGACCTTCTCACTTTATATTATCCTTTACATATATTTTAAACTTCCTCTTGGTCATTTCAGATACTCTGGAGAAGCGCTTTGAAATCCTGTCTAATTCAGTGTCAGTGAGAGCCGAACAGCTTCAAACAGCTGTTGCCCAATCAGTCAGCGTTCAGGAGGGGCTTAAAGCACTGCTGGCATGGTTAGATGGACTACCTTTATCACCTGGCGCAGTCCAGGCCACCGCTCAAGCAGTTCAGGATGCCCTGACACAAAATCAGGTATTTTGTTAAATGTACCATCATAATCATAAGTAAAACTTTCCTTATCCAGGAATTATGTTTTCTACAAACATGGCACTTCCCCCTCAGAAAATACGTCAGGAGCTGCTTTCAAGGCAGGGCAGCATGGATGCAACTTTGGACTCTGTGTCCAAGCTTCTGAAGTCTGCAGATGCATCGACAGCGTCTGGCCTGCAGGGGGCACTACAGGACCTGAGTCAGCGCTACACAGCGGCCCAGGCCAAACAGGCTGAAAGAGAGACTGAGTTGCGAGGACTTTTGCCCAAGTTGGAGAGCTTTGAGCGCCAGAGTGCAGATCTCCACAGCTTTACGCAGAGTCGAGAAAGGGCTCTCAGCCCAGTAGGCCAACCTGACTGCAGTGTGGATGACTACAGACAGACCATAGAGGTTAGCGAATTAGGTTTTCCACATATGTGGCCACAGATTTACACACTTTCTGAAAGATTACATGTTTATTGGCAGATGTCCAAAGGTGTCATCATTTATCTCTTTTTCGTTCAAGGAGGTGAGATCAGAAATTACCCAAGAGTCGAGTCAATTAAAGTCATTTGTCGAGCTCGGTTCAGACCTAAGCCAGTCTGGGATCCTTGCCAATGTACAAAGCCTTCTGGACACAACCAAAGAGGTTTCTGAGGACTTTGCACGCTTGGAATCCAATGTCAATGAGAGGTGAGTGGAAAGATTTTAGTTAACTAAATAACTAATTTAGTTATTTTAGTATTGTTTTCCTGCATGATTATAATTTGTATTAATATTTTGAACTGGCTTTTATTATCATATTTTTAGGTTTCAATTAAAATTCTAGTTTAATTTTTAGTAATGATTTTGAGCTTTTGTCATTGTTTTAAATATTAATAATTAAGTCTAGGTTTTTTTTTTTTGTTTGTTTTTTCGGTTTAGTGAATTTAATGCTTGAACCTATTTAAACTTTATTTCAATTAGTTGCCAAAGCAACATTTCTCATTTTCATTTAGTTTAAGTTTTTTCTAAAATGTTTATTTGATTTTAGTTCAGCTTTTTTTCAGTTGGCAAATTGTTTTAAATAGTTTTAGCTAACAATAAAAACCCTGTCTTCCACATTTAACCTCTCTCTCCAGACTGGAAAAAAGAATTAATGCTGTAATGAAATATTCAGGATATTGTAATATTGTCCCCGTTAATGTCAGTTACAGTCATGAGTAGAATAGTTAGTCTGTTCTAAGCTGTTCTCTGTGTCGTAGTTTCATCTTGAAATGTGATGCCCTGCCAACTCTAATTGCTTTGACATTTGACATGTGACAAAAATAAGACCAATCTCATAAAGACAGTATGGATGGGGCCAGAATACTCTCAGCCATAAAAAAATAGCATCATGCTAACCCAGTTTGACACCACTGTATCCGCCGTTATGGAAACCATTTGGCCACATCCCTCCTTAAGATGCCAGACTGGGGCTCCAAGCATTTCAGATGCCCTCAGAGACATAAAACAGTCGGTCATGTGTTCAAGTCTAAATCCACTCCACATATCTCTAGGAATACTAGTGAGTGGGAAGTGGGATTATTGTAATATGACTTCTGACCCTAACTGCTGCTAACAATGGTAGAGAGGCATGCTGTCCACATTAAGAGTCTGGAGTGGAGTCTGGCACACAATGTCCTGATCTATCACCATGACCTAAAATAGTAGCATACAGTGTTGACATAAATAGGAGGTCAAAGATGTCTGGTTGTGTCCTTTTACAAGAGATTTTTTTCTTGTATAATTTCTGCTTTTTAAGGTGTGCTCTGAATTTTTTCCTCATTAAGATATTTTAAATTAAGAAAGGAATAATGCATTTGAAAAAGAAGATGAAGTCCATTCACAAAAGCGGTTTTATTTTACATGGAGCAAGTTGCCTCATTGGACCCAGCATTGTGTTACCATTAACAAAATTGAATCTTTTTTTAATGGTTTGTTGATATTCATATAACTTTTTTCCTGTGTCCTCCACAGATTTGATTCCATCCAGAGCTGCGTCCAGCAACTGGCGGAGTTCCGCTCTCACTCTGGCTCGCTCCTCAGGTGGCTGCAGACAGTACAAGAACAACTTCCTGCCAAAGAGCCCAATCTAAGCACAGAAAGCCTGCAGAGAAGAGCACAGCAGCTTAAAGTAGGACTGTAGTTCTCTCTGTTTACGGTGTTCTGACATCAGTTTCTGTTTTTAGCGAGGTGAGCTGTAATTAACATGTCTTATGAATTTACTTGTAGGATCTACTCACAGAATGGGAGACCCAAGGAAGCCAAGTTCAGGAGTTGAACAAGACCAGTTCACAACTGGAGAACTTGATTATTAACATCACATCCCCCAAGAACAAGGCTGGTAGGCAAAACAACATTGTGGAAGTTCAGGGCCAATACTCCTTTTTGTCTATAGCTAGTACTTTGTGTTTCCACTGTGACACAAGTAAATATTTGGTCCCCAAATCACCACTTATAGAGGATAGCTCACTCAAAAATGAAAACTCTCATCATTTGCTCACCTTCATGTTCAAAACTAGTTAGCCTTTCTTTCTTGCATGGGAAACAAAATTCAAATGTATATAAAAAAAAAAACTGTCTAGAAGTGGCTATAAGTATGAGCAAAAACTTGATTTATGTAGTTTTTATGGTGCTTTTTCATCCTTTTCCAATTAATTTATTACTGCATGGTAAAAGCAATCCATATGTTGCTCAATGTTCTCCTTTTGTGCTCCATGGAAACAAAAAAAAAAGTCATACCAGTTTGGAATGACATGAGAGTTTTTGAGTGAACTATCCCTTTAAGCATCTGTCACCTTCCAAACTACTCATTTTGAGCACACTATGTTTGTATATGTGTCTCTGTGTCTAAATCCTCTGTGTTGAGTATGTCTAGCTGCTTGTGTGTGTATGTGTGTGTGTGTGTGTGTGTGTGTGTGTGTGCAATTAATGAAACGTCCTTGATTTTACTAAAACGAGGGTGAGTGTTACTAAAACATCCACAAATTAATAAATTGTGGAGCAAATTCTTAATTTGTGACCACAATAAATGTTATGTTCCACATATCATGTGCGGAACTCCATATGTTGTTCTTCACAACTGAATGGATTTTAGTGCAGTTAGTTAAAAAAATCAAAAATTTATTGAAATGCTTAACCCTCAGCTTATATATCATTGCATGAAGAATAGTACAAACATGATGCAGTTTTATAACTATTTGGCCTTGTCATTGGCCTGCTCTGATTGTACTTACATCAACATTCCTTCGCTCTTACCCTCAGACTTGACTGAGATCCAGGTGGCAGTGGCAGATGTGAACTGCAAGTATGAGCAGCTGGGCAGTGACCTGAGGGAAAGGAAGGGTAGGCAAGAGGCCTCTCTTGACCTGCGACAGAAGGCCAGGCAGGGCACTGAGGCACTCATCCAGTGGCTGAGCCTCCGTGAGCAGAGCCTGGCACAAGGGCAGACTGCCTCACCTTCTCGGCCAGAGGTGGTGCGTGCTCAAGCCCAAGAGACTAAGGTATCATTTTGAGACAATTTAATACTTTCTTAACAGTGGTATAAAAACTACAGGCCCCCACAGTAATCTGGCAAATCTGTTTTCATTTTCTGTCATTTTTCTGCAGTGTTATCCCATAGTTCTCTAAAGGATTGTTAATCAGTAAGCTAGCAATCATTGATTACATTGTGACAGACAGCTGACAGTCAGGTATATGTTTCCAGGTTTTGCTTTCTGAACTTGCCGAGCATTCTGGGAAAATGGAGGATCTGAAGAACATTCTCAAGCAGCTAATAACAGATAATCCAGACTCTCCTGAAGCTGAGACATGGAAACGTCAGCTTGAAGACATAGGTCAGTGAAGTGTTTTAAATGCATTTCCATTGAATGGACTTTGTCCCTATAGCAATAATTAACTATAACGACAGAATAGTACATTAATATTCATTTGCTGGTCACAAGGTGAGAGTTGGGTGCAGGAAATGGAAGGCTGAAAATAATGTACTGTAATTTCCAAGAAGAGCTCTGACCTTGTCTTTTTCAAATCAAATATCCTGAACTTTTATTCAGGTGTTCCATTTGTTGTCAAAGTGCAGCCTGTGCAGGGATTTTCTTTATCTATTGTATTTCAGTATATTTATTAGTACATTAAATATTTTAGTGTCATCGTTTCTGAAGCATCAGGATTGGTCCTTGTGATATTTGTTCTAAATATTGCTCTTTCTCCTAGACTCACGGTGGACGAAGGCCAATCAGACTGCAGCTCAGAAGCAGACTAAATTGGAGGTGTGTGCTGATAGGCTTGGTAGTTTTGCTGCAGCAGCCAGTCAGCTAGGACCATGGCTACGAGAGAAAGAGCTGATGATGAGTGTATTAGGTCCACTGAGTATCGACCCCAACATGCTCAACACACAGAAACAGCAAGTGCAGGTAAACTAATCTTCTTTTGTCTACCAAATTACAGATTGGACAGGAAATCTATAAATATCACATTATAGGGGTCTATTCATAATGTTCATTAAATACAAATTATTAAATACAATTTAAACACACTGACAGTGTCTGTGTTACATTGTCAAAAAATAATTTCCACCAATAAAAGTAGTCCTACTTCAAAAGGCAAATAATTTATTGATCAGTGACGTTATTTCATAAAATAGTTCATGCAAATGTTTTATCAAAAAACAAACTTTTACAATAAAAAAATAATTTTTTTAAAACTATGGTTGCTTATATTCTTCTCTATTAAGTGTATTACTGTAAATTATTTTAGTTTTTTTGTTTGTTTTTATGAACAGAATAAAAAAATTGGTATTTTGACATCATGGCTCAGATTTTCATTCAAAAAATCAAATGAAACGTTTTGTTCTCAAAACGTATCCGCTTCAACAAAAATCACTTTAAATTTCTTTCTTTATCCTGTCAGTTCATGCTACGTGAGTTTGAGACACGGCAACCCCAGTTTGATCAGCTGACTCGGGCGGCAGAGGGAATCCTCTCCCCGTCTGGAGACGAGGGTTCTAGAGATGGACAGGACCTAGAGGAGGTGTTTATCTATTGTATTTCAGTATATTTATTAGTACATTAAATATTTTAGTGTCATCGTTTCTGAAGCATCAGGATTGGTCCTTGTGATATTTGTTCTAAATATTGCTCTTTCTCCTAGACTCACGGTGGACGAAGGCCAATCAGACTGCAGCTCAGAAGCAGACTAAATTGGAGGTGTGTGCTGATAGGCTTGGTAGTTTTGCTGCAGCAGCCAGTCAGCTAGGACCATGGCTACGAGAGAAAGAGCTGATGATGAGCGTATTAGGTCCACTGAGTATCGACCCCAACATGCTCAACACACAGAAACAGCAAGTGCAGGTAAACTAATCTTCTTTTGTCTACCAAATTACAGATTGGACAGGAAATCTATAAATATCACATTATAGGGGTCTATTCATAATGTTCATTAAATACAAATTATTAAATACAATTTAAACACACTGACAGTGTCTGTGTTACATTGTCAAAAAATAATTTCCACCAATAAAAGTAGTCCTACTTCAAAAGGCAAATAATTTATTGATCAGTGACGTTATTTCATAAAATAGTTCATGCAAATGTTTTATCAAAAAACAAACTTTTACAATAAAAAAATAATTTTTTTAAAACTATGGTTGCTTATATTCTTCTCTATTAAGTGTATTACTGTAAATTATTTTAGTTTTTTTGTTTGTTTTTATGAACAGAATAAAAAAATTGGTATTTTGACATCATGGCTCAGATTTTCATTCAAAAAATCAAATGAAACGTTTTGTTCTCAAAACGTATCCGCTTCAACAAAAATCACTTTAAATTTCTTTCTTTATCCTGTCAGTTCATGCTACGTGAGTTTGAGACACGGCAACCCCAGTTTGATCAGCTGACTCGGGCGGCAGAGGGAATCCTCTCCCCGTCTGGAGACGAGGGTTCTAGAGATGGACAGGACCTAGAGGAGGTGAGGCAGGAGCTGGCAGACGTTTCACAGCAGTGGGAAGACCTCACCGTTCGTCTCACCGGCCGCTCACAGCAGATCGACCAGGCGCAGGGAACCAGCGAGTGCTACTTGGCCCTGCTCAGGGAGCTGTCTCAGAGCGTGGCCGATCTAGGTGAGAGGCTGGATGCGCAGGCCTCTCTAAGCGCTCAGCCTGAAGCCCTGCGCCGTAGGCTTCAGGAAACTGGGGAGATCCGTGCTGTGCTGGAACAGAGACGAGGTCAACTTGCCCAGGCTGAGCAGCTGTGTTTGGAGCTCAGCACAATTGTGGCCGAACCATATCTCCGAGATGAGTTACACAAGAGATTGGAGAGTGTGAGCGGGCCCCTCAAAAACCTAGAAGAACGGGCTGGTGAGTAACAGTTTGAAAATGAAGAAATTAAGACATAAATATTAGTATTGTAATTTTACAGTAGCATCTGGTAAAAATTCCTGTATCTTTTTATTTCACAATGTATATCACAGAAAAACAAATTGTCGCAATGTCAGTTTTTTTCCAGTATCGTGCAGCATGTGCATAATATTAACAGTCCCCCTCACTGCTGTCTTTCAGCTGATGGCTTGTCCCAGCTGCAGGCTGCCCTGTCCAGCACTCAGCAGTTCCAGCAGATGTTTGACGAGCTTCGTGGCTGGTTGGGCGGGCAGGCTGGGAATCACACTGCTGGGGTTTCTGAAGGCCTTCCTTGCCAACCTGATGCTCTAAAGACCCTTTTGGCCCAACAAGAGGATCTCCAGCGAGCCATAGCACAACAACGTGGATCCTATGAGCTCATCCAGGCCGAGGGGACATCTTTGCTAGCATCCCTCCCTGCTGGAGATGAGCGATTAGCCCTACAGACTCGACTAAACACCTTAAGGCAAGACTGGGAGGGCATGAACCAACAAACCTCTAATAAACATAGTCGAATAAAAGAGACACTGTCCCGTGCTGAGCTGTACCAACAACATCGCAATGAGCTTGTACCTTGGGTTGCAGAATGTGAGGAAAGGGAGGCAGAGATCCACCCATCACTGGACCCCTCCACCTTAGACGAGGCTTTGCAAAAGGCTAGACTGTTGAGCCTAGACTTGGATCGTCGTCGCCGCCTCTTAGATTCTCTGAACACGGCAGCAGATCAGCTGCTGGAGCAGAGCTGTACTGGTGAAGAGGAAGTGATGGATGAAAAAGCCCAGCTGAATCGCAGGATAGATGGTCTCTCTGAGCGACTACAGGGACGCACGGCTCAGATAGAAGAGTTGGGAAGCAGACTGAAGGAGTTTGAAGATGGGAGACTGGCTGTGGAGAGAAGACTCGAGGCAGCCAGACATCAGATCGAGGTTCAGGAGGCGCTTGGGCCGCAAGCTTGTAGCAACAAAAGCCTGGAGCGTCTTCGTAGCCAACAAGAACTGTTAAACTCTATACAGCCACAGGTAGTATACCTGCAAAATCTGGCTCTGGGGCTACTCCAGGATGCGCCCGAGATCTCCAGGGCCGGCGAAGATGGTGGCCAGAGGCTGTTGCAGCAAGCTCGTGATGCGGAAAAAGAGTTTGAAGAAGTTACTGAGAAGGTGAGAGAATCTGCACATGATCAGGAGCCTCTGGAATGTGTCAGGACTGAGGCGGTAGTTGGGATGTTATATATAACCTGATCTGTAGTTTAAGTCTGCGCTCATGTCATGTTTGCTGAAAATAAGACGCCGTCTTTTTCTGGCTGTTGGTCTAAATTTGTCTTGTTTATTTTCATAATAGCTTGTATTCAAGATTTGCCGCCAAAAGTTTAAGTATTTAAGATTAAAATACAATACAAATACAATTGTGCAATACTGCATGTCTATGCAGTACATTTTGAACATTTCATTTTAAAAAAATAAATATACTTATGTTGTAAGTGTAGCACATTTTTATTGTAATGTTATTTAAAAGTATTTACATAACAGCAAGAAATTTATTAGAGTAAGCCTCTAAGGATAAAAAATAAAGAGCTAAAGTTAGCTATCACTTAGTGAGGGATTGCAAGTTAGCCACACCAACTGGAAGTTAATTTTAATATCACTTATTTATTCATCTTTTGAAACTTGTTTTCATATCGATTTCTGCAATTTTATAAAACAGGATTATTATTTTTTTAGATTGAGAAACCAAATAACACAAACACCACAGAATTGATCAAATCCATTACTAAAACTTTCTGCTGTTTTTTTCACAAAAACTGTGTCACTTCCTGGAGAATGTTGTAATTGAGGAACTGTGTTTTGTTAGTTAAGGGGACATTACATACTGACAGGATGGAAAATTTAATTTGAGAAACAGGAAAGCCCTATATTTTAATTTTAAACTGTCTTCCCAAGAACGTATGTTTAAAACATCTCAGGAATGATTGAGTATTTCTTAGTAAATTGGCAGTGCTTTATGTTAAAAGCACTCAGGGATGTGGCAAAAATGACAGTATGCGCTTAAACCAAAAAGGTGAAATGCAAATGAAAAATTCAGGCATATTATGTAATATTATTACTGCGTACATTAATATGCTTATCCAGTATATTTAGAAACATATGATTGGTCTACTGCATAGTAGGAATGACCCACAACTTCATCTCTATTTACCTGCAATTGTCCCTTCTCTTTCCCCCACAGACAGAGCAATGCTGCTTATCCTTGGAGTCCCGGTTGCAAGGTGTGGGAGAGGTCCAGTCACATGTTCGAGATGTTTTCTCCCGCCTGGCTGATTTGGACGATGAGTTGGACAGCCTTAGCCCTGTGGGACGGGATACTGACTCCTTGGCCTCACAGGCTGATGCTGTCAGGGGCTTCCTGAGTCGACTCAGTGGCCTCCGTGCCGAGCTAGAGAGTCATGGTGGAGAATGCACGACTATGCTGCGTAGAGAGGGAAGCTCTCCTGATCTTCTGGCCCTCAGGCGAGAGACTGAAGCACTAAGCAGACAGGCAGGCAAGCTGGCAGAGCGGGGCCAGAACCGTCTGGCACTCATAGAAGCCGCAGAAGAGCGAATGAAGGAGTTCTACGCCCGTCTAGCTGACCTACAAGGGTTGCTGGGACGGGCAGAGGAGGTGCTGGACACACAGGCCATCGTGGGGACAGAAGTGGAGGTCATCAAACAGCAACTTCAGGAATTCAAGGTAGGAAAAGATTTTGCAAACTGTATATTTTTGTCTGTACTGTATCCATCATTTGCGGTATCAGATTGCTTTCTGTGCTAACCACTGTATGCTAACAATGTTCGTGTGGCACAGGCGGTTCTAAAATTTCAGTCTTAGAGGGGCTCAGCCCTCCTACCTAAACATGAGCTCATGTGGCACGGATGATTATTTCTTGTTTTTTTCCATATCTAAACAAGGTCTAGCTTATGTTGTGCACCATGTGGTTTACCCAAGTATGACGTGTTCCTGAATGAACCAGCCTTCCCCTGAATTCAGTGGACAATGATTTGCAGATGATGCAGGATGATGTTCCAGAACCAGCAAAGGATGTTGATCCAGAAACATGTTCTAATTGTGTAAATCACATCAAGCCAGGGCTGTGGGACGTGGGGGAAAAAAATCAAATTGCGATTTTTCTGATGAAAAAAAATTTTTTTTAGTGATTAAATGGGATTTTTTTTTTTTTTACTATCAAATAATAATAATAATAATACTAAATAAAAGTATCAAACAAAAGATATATTACTATTGGTATTTAGAAGTGCCCACTATAACAATATCGTGCATATTCATTACCGTGATATATCGCATTACCGAATACCTAACTGTCTAATTGTAATATTTCAATATAAAATAAATAATACATATTTTAAAAATAATAGTTTATTTTATAGTACAACTATAAAATTACAATACTAATATTTATGGTCTTAATTTCTACATTTTCAAATATTAAACCATAAGCAACCCAAACTCACATCACATTGCAGAGATGGAATTTATGTGGAGCACGGTTTGCTGCAAATCCCAACAGCTCTGAGACACTGAAAACACCAGATCATGAGCTGCTTGAGCAAATAATTTCACTTCACTCTGAAACGCATTCTGCATGTTTATATAATTAAATCACAATAAGCCGTAGTGTGGTTTTAGTTTCATTTTGGTCAGTTGTAAAGCCCTCTAGAAGTATGCATGTTTAAAAGATATTATATAAATTTTTGTATTACTGCAGGATGAAGGCTCTCGCCCTTAATAAATCCTTCTTTACCAACATGTTCTTGCTGTTTTCTTCTCATCATGTTCTCTGTGATGGTGGCAAGAGAATAAGGAGAGACATGTGAGCTCTTAAATCCTCAGCGTGGGCAGCTTGAGTTCACCTTTCCTCCCCTGACCGTCTGATGAAATGTCTGTATCTCACTTACTCATGCCTCTTGAGGGTGGCGAAAGAAAGGAGAGTGTGAGAGTGAAGAGGTGTAGGTGGAAGTGGGAAGGAGTAGAACTAAGGAAATGACGGATGTTGTGGGCGTCCGAGACCTCCAGGAGCAGGAGAGTGAATCAGTGCTGTACAAAATATGCCTTGCTGAGACTGAATCATTCCTTCCTCCGCCATGTTTGATTGCTCAGCAACAACAGTATGACTAGTTTAAAAGACTTTGAGTGGTATTGAGGTAGTCCACTGAACTTTTAGTAACATTTAAAGATTTTAAATAGCAATAAACATTTAGTACTTTCAAAGTTCTTGGAATTTGGAAGGGTGAAATTTGTCACTGTGATTTGCGTTCTTTAGAGATGTTGTAATTTCCTGCGAGGAAAATCTTCCATTGCAGGTTCTTTTTAATAGTACTGCATCCCACTGAGTGCCAACACAGAAAGCTCATTAAAGATGTCAGCACTGTGATGGACACTGAGCTAAATCTGACCGCATAACTAATCTGTGTCAGTCCATAGCGTCAATATGGGAGCATAAGAAGGGAGGGGGTCGGGGGCAAGAACCCTCTGTAGTCCACCCACTTCCAGCTCTACCTTATTTTAAACACTAACCCACTTCTAATCTATCCACCTACAACACATTTACTATAGTGTGTTCGGTGATTCATCCAAGTGTTTTTTTTTTTCTTTTTCTTCCACAAAAATATTAAGCAACAATTAAGCATATTAATCAATATTCAACATTGATAATAATAATAAGAAATGTTTCTTGAGCAGCAAATCAGTATATTAGAATGATTTCTGAAGGGCCATGTGAAACTGAAGACTGGAGTAATGTTGCTGAAAATACAGGATATACATGACACATACCTGACATTTTTCAAATATATTTCACAATATTAATGCTTTTACGTTATTTTGATCTAATAAATTCAGCCTTTTTGAACATAAAAAAAATCTTTCTGACCCCAAACTTTTGAACTGTAGTGTAGTGATTGGTAAGGCATCAGTTTTAATCAGCCAAGCAGGCAGAGTTATTGATCAGGGCTCAGATATGAATTATGCATACCCAAATTATTATGGATTTTGGGCGGTATATTGGTCTGTCATTAGTTAAATGTTTTATTTTTAATGAAGTGTCCTTGATTTGTCTTCATGTATTACTTTGTAGAAACTTGGATGACTGAGGAAGTCTTGAGAAATTCTTTTGTCTCTTCCTCATGCTTTTTTCCATTTTTGAGTATTTCTGCTGTTCTACTCCCTGTCTACCCCCTTTCTTGACTCATACCTTCACTCAGCTCATGTGGATGTCTAATCAATACAGGGGTGTTTAAGTATTAAGTCAAACCAGGACAAAAATATAAGCATATATAGTACAATAGGCTTTAAAAGATGGGATGGGATCAACTTTCCCAGTCTATTTCTTAGTATAGTAGATTTCTATTTCCATTGGGAAATATCGCTTTAAAAATAATAATGAGCAGATGCTTGGTTGTGTCTTTATAAATGCTCATTCTGACTTTGTGTGACATGCACAGCAATTGGTATTGCAAGCAAAGGCAATGGAAAATTACTTCTTCTTAACATTGTTCTTGTGACCTTGAAGGCCTTGAAATAAAGACAACCACATATCTCTAACTCATGAAGACAATACAAGATGCAGTGTGAGCTATAACACTAAAAGCAAAACAATATAAGTCAAATTATTTTTATAACTTTTATTATTTTTATACAAATAAATATAAAATGTCAGTTAAAAATTAAAACATTATTTAAAATATTTTAATTATATAAATATTAATTTTATATATTTTCATTAAAGAAAAATACTGAGACATTCATAAAATAATGTAAATTTTTCACTTAAATGCTTATGCTTATATTAATGTTATGCTGCATGAATATCATTTGTAACAGGGAAAAAAAGAAATAAATTTGAAAAATACATTTTCACAGGTGGACTTTTGAACCCCACTGTATGTATTTGCATTCTATAGGTTATTTTTAGGAAGCTGTGGAATGGGATCTCATTTATTACAAAGGGGAAGAAGAGAGAAAAACGAATAAAATGTGTTCAGAAAGACATCTTTGGTATTCATCCAAGCTGGCTGCCAGCATTCGTCATTTTTCCATCCTCTCTGCCCCATTTCTCTCCTTTCGTCTACCACTTTGTAATGAAACATTGTAGGATAAATTTTAGTGCAGCCCGTTTGTCTGCCACAAAATAGTCTGCTCTCATTTTCGCCTCGCCCCACGCAAGCCAGACTCCATTTCAAAGACACCAAATCCAAATGATGTCATTGCTCAAAGGGGCGGAGAGGGAGGGGTGATCCCGTGTGTGTGACTGAGAGGTTTTTTTGTTGTGTAAGCTCCGTCGGGGCAGCTGCGGGTGGCACGGGGTATTAAGAGAAGGTGTCAGATTAGTCAGTATCATTGTTTAGCTTTTCAACAATGAGCGTATTGAGATGTCGTGGAAATCGGCTGGAGAGAAACAGGGAAACTTGTCACACTTGTGACTTGAATGTGAAATGTCTTGCCGGTGTCGTCTGGTGCTTCCCGTCTGGATATGTTCTCATATTTAGCAGCAGGTTGGCGTGTGCTGTAGGATGAGGTGTAGACACAGAAGGTGTGTTTGTATGTTGTGGGAGTGTGCCCGCAGGTCCATGTGTGAGAATGTTTCTAATTCCAGTCCGTGTGGAGCGTCTGGCATCCCAGCTGTCTCCCCTCCCTGGACCCTGCAAACACACTCACACACGTTCTCATAAGCAGGGTGTGGTTGCCCCCTCTCCCTAAAATTCCTGTCCCTTATGTACCCTTGTGTGCTCCCATGTCGCCCGGTCCCAGAGCAGCTGAGGCTTGAGCCGGCGCTGCGGGATAAAGTGCTAGACTGGAGTAAAACGAGGGCCCCCTGTCCAACTGGGAATTCCTTTGCAGGGCTGTTGGGATGAGGGAATGGCTTCTAAATCACATCAGGTTGTCCATGCTGTCCTCACCCTCACTTATATCATGACTTATATCATGTCACCCTCGCTTATATCTTCACTCCCTTTACTCTTTCCATCCCTCCCTCACTCCTGCCGGTTTGTCTATTTTTATTGACCTCTTTTTACGTAGTTTGTGATCACATATTTTTTCCTCCACAATAACATCTGCAGAGACTATGTCATGACCTGCCCTACCCCCACCCAAACCTTAGGGGTTTCCCTCTAACATCATCAATCTTGTGGCCTCACAGTCACATGAAGCAGATTAGCGCTGATTATTTTTCTGGAAGAATTCATTTATCACAATTGCAGTAAGGTAATGCAAAGTTCTTGCAATATTAACATATACTGAATATTAACATGGTTAATCTCATGAAAAAAAAAACTCCCAAATAAAAATGAATAACATAAAAAGTAATAATTTACATTAAAGGGGTCATGAATTGTGAAATCAAATTTCCCTTGATCTTTTGTGACATGTAAGAGGTCATTGTACTATAAAAATATCCTGTAATTGTCAGAGCTCAAAACTTCCTTTTATTGAAGCCAAGATCAGAAAACGACTCTCATTATGTCACATTATGACGTAAAAGTGCAACGAAAGCCCACCTCTGCAGAATCAGATCAATGCCTACCTCTACATCATTGTGTCTTTGGCCCCGCCCACTGGAGCATTAGTGAGATGAGAAGGAGAGAAAAGCAATACAGGAGCACTGGACTAAAAAATAACATCACCTTCCACAGTGGATCCTAATGCTTGGAAAGTGCTTATTTATTTTCAACTAT